CTTCCTCATCATCTTCATCCTCCTCACTCCACCAGCAGAGTCGTGCTGCTCTGTCTTTTAAGCTCTCGTCGTGCCCCTCTACCACACTCCCTCCATCTTAAGTCTGGGGTGACGATAGCTAATTATAAAATCAATGATGCCGGGCTGCCTAGTTTACAGCCCCCTCTAAAACCTTAACTGGGAAATCACTGTGGGATTGATGACTCCCTCACTCTTTATCTCTTTTAATTAGAAATGTAAAAGATATGAAGACCCAGAGGCCAGAACACATCTCCTAGTTTTTATGACCCCGACGCCTGCCCGCCTTCCCAGTGCTTGCTCCTCATTCCCAAATCGCCCCCACCTCTACCTGGCCTTGTTTATTTCCTCTGGCTCCCTTCTGGCACGCCCTCCATTCTCACTCTTGTCACAGATACCTTTACCCGTTTCTTCATCACTTTCTCCATTACCCTTTCGGTGAGATGGCCCGTCTGCCTTCTTGCTCGTACAGGGGAAGGTGTTAAATTTATGGTCTTTGCACATGAAAACGTTTCTCACCTTCTCCTCACCTCTCTCTTTCTCTCCCTCCTTGACTGTGATCCCCAACCCTCGGTGGATTCGCCGCATATGTAACAAATGGCAAACGTGTCCTTTTTGTCTGTTCTGACCCAACCAGGAGGCACACAGTAAATGATGTGGTATTTCACATTATGACCCTGCACCCAGCTCCATGCTTCCAGCACATGACATATGCACCTCTCTGTCTTGTATATAGCTTCAGGTGCACACAGAAAGGCCCTACAGTTTTTTATCACATCAAACCTGGGTCACATGCACCAACACTCTCTGCCTTTATCACACCCCGAGCCCAGCACCTTCCTCACTAACTGCTGCCAGAAGCATTTGGGTTCACTGAGCTTTATCCTGCAGATCACTCTCTGAAGCCCTGCAGCTGCTGCTGGTCCATTATCTCTCCTGTGTGTTGACCGAGTTGTAGCTACAGCTCAGATGTGCAGCGGGATATCAGTGTGGGTTTAAATATTCAAATGATATTCGTTGGTATGCACACTCACGGCCTGCTTTTATGGATTCTTTACTATTTTTAATAATTGATGTCCTTTGGTTGTAAGAATATTACAAGGGTGATTTTTTTCTCACACTTTATTAAATCATTGTGAAGTTGTACCTCTAGGTGTCACATTTCCATTCTTTCATTTCAAATGAATAAGCCTACCCATCTCAAGTCATTATTTAATCAACCGTCACTAATGTGTGAGGATGAGCATATAGAAAACTAAACCGGCTCCTTTAAATTCCCCCCAAGCATGCCCAAACCCTTGCATGGGTTCCCATGGCAACACCTTCCAGGGTTCAGTATATGAGGCAATTTGATTGTTCCTTGTAAAATAGTGTATAATGTATGGGCCTTATTTTAATTCCAGTCTGGTGTTATTGATCTGTCTTTAATGATAATTAAAGCAATCATATAATTGATAGAATCTCATCTGTGTTTATCACCCTGCTCTGATTCTCTCTTTCTATTAATGAAATAAAGGTGTGGCATTAGTATCAACGTGGCCGGGTTTTAAAAAGAAAAGGTTTACTGTCAGAAGCCCTTTATAAAGAGGATTCCCGCTCTTGAGAGAGTGAGTGATCATATCAGCAGCAGTGATACAGTAAAGATAGGCAGTATAACCTTGACACAGACACGCGGGCAGACTTTTGGTCCTCTTAAAAAAACTCTTCTTAACAAGGCCTTTCCTTGCTTGGTTTAAAGTTTGCACAGCATACTCTGACAAAGCTTTTGACTTGAGTTCAGTGACTGAATGTCCTTTCACAGGCCATTAGCGAGTGCTGGGTCACTTCTGCAAGTTCAAATTTCACACAGTTTCAGTATAATTTGAGCGCACTGGCTTGAGCAGCTTACTGACTGTAAAAGAATCGCTTTCATTTCCTCCAGCAGACCTCTAACATGAGCCACATTAACAGCTATGCAGGAGCTAAATGATATTTTCATTATGAATGGATTTTATGATTAATACTTGGGCGTATTTTTTAAAACATGTTACCACAAATTTGCACAGCCAAATGTAATTTTATCTTATTTCATTTGAGCCAAAGCTTAATGGCACCAAATAATAATTGATATATCATGTAATGCATCTAAAAACTGGGATAATTTATTGTGCTGTTGCAGCCTTCTGTACAGCTTTCATTAAAGAATTCATGGCTAGATATGCTTTAACTTTCTGATCACAGTGAGATGAAAGCAGAGGAAAAGAGTCGTTCTCTGATGATTTTTATGCTGCCACCTGCACTCCTTTAACTGCAGAGTGAACAAATCTTAGGAACAGACCTTTATCTGATGTCCTTGTTCAGCAGGAGGCTGTGATTTATTAGCCTCTGCACCCACAGCTCTCCATGACCCAACAGACCCTGCCCTTATCCTCCAAGCAGTAAACGCAGCTGCATGCAGCACACCCTACAGTCACAGTGCAAGAGCTCCCTCTACTGCTGCACCCCGGTAATGAATGATTATGTCCATTCAAAAGTGCAGTTTACTGTGTTTCATAAGTTTGACACTGGTATAAGCGAACTTACACATCACATCATTTTTAGCACAAAGAAATGGTAATAAAGAAAAGTCCAGGAATCTCTCAAAAGTAGTTTATTGTGCCTCTCACTGTTTATATGGCTTTTCTTTGTATGACAAGAGTTGACATAAACAGAGGAAGAACAACACCTTGGCCATGTTGAAAAAACAAAACAATAACATAACACATAACATAATCTCAAAGTTTTGCCTGCATTACCGTCACTATCACCGTGACGGCGTAGCAGAGAGAGAAAGGATGAGGTCACACAAGAGTTTCTGTGTGACAGCACCATGCCAAGGACATCCACCCATGACTGAAAACTTTCTAAAGCATTCACACTCACGTGCACACGCACGCACACACACACACACACACAATGAGGACACCTGCCCATATTTAGAGGATGGGACCTCTCGCTGCTACAGAAACTATGTTCGTATTGCTTCAAAGAGGGAGAGAAAAACCTCTGTACTGTATATCAGCCGTGCTTTCCAAGCTGATCGCCCACTGTGACATTTTGGCAATAAAGAAATGATACATGAGAACACATAATCCTCCACTGTTCTTCTTCTTCAAAAAAAGTGAGAATATACACAAGAAGACAAGATGATATAATGGCTTTTTGGGATGAGGGGGCAGTTTCCTGCATGGATACCAGTGTGAACGCAGGTGGGACGGTGATTGTGATGAGGATGACGATGATGGTGGTCCCTCCTCGCTCTGTGGAGAGTCAGACTGGTATCCATGCTGTTTTTCAGACTTGTCATCTTCTATTTACACAAAGTGGGGCTGAGAATCGCATAGTCAAGAATGCACGCATAAATATTGCCTGTTTCTAGCATGCTGGGAAGCAGCTAGGGTTTGGTCCTTACTGAAAAGCCCTGAGTCTGATTCCAAAATGTCTTCCATAAAGATTCCTGCTTTGCATATGCCTTTAATGGTTGTGTTGATGCATATGATACTAGTATGTTTGGGTGTTTTTATCTGTGTTGAATGAGTGTGCTAATCTACTGATATCATCAGGGAGAGCTCTAAGATCCGTCATATTTAATATGTTGATGTTACCATCAGTTTTGACATGCTAACTGGGACATATGCTCACAGACAGCTGCTCTATACTTAATGGAAGAGATGTGCCTTGCTTAAACAGATGATCACAAAAGTGCTACATATATACGGTCAAGTCTGAATCTCCGATCCCGGCACTTTGTGCCAGGTTGGCACATCTGCTACCACTCAGCATAGAGCGAAAGGAGTGTGTATGTTTGTTCTGCGCTTTTGTGGATACACTGTCCAAGATAATTAGAGTGTGTTTTTAGTGCACATGTGAGTGAGCATTCTGCCATGAGGACCGCTGGATTGTATCTGGAGTCCCTGCCAGTAGTTAAACTCATGCTCCACAGATGACTGTTCCTAACTTTGGCACAAAGATACTTCCTGCACTGACAGCACATGCTGGCCGCAACAACAGCATAAAAGAATAATGCCAATTACCTGATAACAGAAACTGGTTAAGTCACTGCAACAAAAAAGAAAGTCCTGGGTTGATTATCATCCACAGGGAGCCAAAGTGCTCCACGAAGCCCGAGCTAAGCATATGTAGCTGATAAGGAAGACCCAGCCAGTTCTGATTACCCTTCTTTCCCTCTGAATATCTTCGCAGGAAAGCTCTTCAAAGATAAAAACTTGTCTAAAGGATTCATATATAAAACCAGAATAACAAATAAAAAACAAAATATAATGGTATATAGATATGTAAGGACTTATTCATAAACTGAAAAAAGGAAAAAAAAGAATGAAAACAATATTTAAAAATAACAACAAAAGAGTTGCATACTCAATTTGGCTTTGCCCTGTACTCTTGCTCTAAATGTGCTTGTTGTAATCAATCAAAGTCAACTGCTTAGTTCTGGTGTCTAGTTTGGAGGCTCCCCTGTTTAGATATAAACAACAATAGTAAGGGGGGGGGGGGGGGGTAGGGGGGAGAAAACAACAAACATTTAGCTTTCTCAAAGAGGTTATGTTCTTTTTGTCACGTTAACTTCTCTCTTGGCCGTGCCAGGAGTTCATCTGGTTTACCGTCATCTCTCCCTTGACCTCTCATTTTTTCTGCATTTCACTTGTCATGGACCGTGTGGCCTGAGTTAGAAATGTTTATACGCTTAAGGCTCTGCTGTGCTCAGTGGAGGAGGACACAGTGATGTGCAGTCAGGAGAGAGAGAGGGAGAAGGGAAGGCCAGCATCTTCTTGAGGTGGAAGAGTGAATGAGGTTGTGCTATATATGTGTATGTTTACTTATATGCTTGTATGCATGTGTGTGTGTGTGTGTGTGTGTGTG